TTTCAACAGAAAGCCGAGGAATAAAAACATCATCCACACTACACCACACCTCTCCATCAATTTCAGCTCGTAAATATTGGATGTTGATGTTTTCTACGAAGGCGCCCACCCAACCCAAGTCGGTTTGGATTTGGAATTGGATGCTACTTTTTGAAAATTTTGGTTTAAATCCAGCAAGGTTATAAGCAGTAGTAGTAGACCACCACCCCTGCCAGTTCCAGATAAATCTTTCCCAATTTTCAAATTTCTCTCATTCTTAGCAAAGTTTGAACATGAGACTTTTTTTGAGAGTAAAGGTGTAAATAAGGATTCCAACTTTGCATTTTTTTCTATTTAAGGATGTTAACTTTGTCAGTTTCTAAATAAGGATATCAACTTTAAATTTTTTTCTAAATAAAGATGTTAACTTTCAATTTTTTTCTAAATAAGAATGTTAACTTTGTCAGTTTCTAAATAAGGATGTCAACTTTCAACTTTTTCTATTTAAGGATTAATTGAATAGTGATGACGTGGCTAACATATTTTTTTAGGTTAAATATTTGAATTGGTCCCTCGATTTTTATTTTTGAACCAATTCATCCTTAAACTTCAGAAAGTACCAAAAACGTCCTTCAACTTCAATTTTCAATTTCGTCTTTCCGTCAGTTAAATGTTGATGTAGCTAATTTTTTTGCTAAGTGATTGACTGTTTTACATTTTCAATATAGGTGGAAAATCCATCATGTAAAAGATGATTATGTGGATTTTTTAAATTTTAAATAATTTACAAACTACTTTAATTCTTAATTTTACTTTATTTATATTTAAAAATTAAAACAATTAATATATTTTCCCCTTTAATTAGTCCCACCTACCATTTAATAAAATTAAATAAAATTTAATTAATTCTTCCATGAATTAGGAAATAATTTTATTAATTGAAAATTGAAGTTGAAGGATGTTTTTGGTACTTTCTAAAGTTCAAGGATGAATTGGTTCAAAAATAAAAGTTGAGGGACCAATTCAGGTATTTAACCTAAATAATATATTAGCCACCTCAACATTACTATTCAATTAATCTTTAAATAGAAAAAGTTGAAAGTTGACATCCTTAAATAGAAAATGTTGAAAGTTGACATCCTTATTTAAAAACTAACAAAGTTAACATTCTTATTTAGAAAAAAATTAAAAGTTAACATCCTTATTTAGAAACTGACAAAATTAACATCCTTAAGTAGAAAAAAATGCAAAATTAAAATCCTTATTTACACCTTTACTCCTTTTTTTGAGTTTAAAAAGCCTCCATCTCACATCTTCATTTATTCTTTTGAATGACGTTGAGTTGCCATAATACACTACCTAATTTATCTGCCCTTGACCTACTCAATTCTTAGGATTTTGCACCTCACCTTGCAGCTTTTATTTTATTTAGACGGTTGAAAAATAATTATGCCAACATTTTTTTATTAAAAAAAAATTCAAGACCAACGAAGAAATTATTACTACTAATTATTTTGTTCTTAGCCAAATTTATCATATTTTAACCCAAATTCAAATCCCTCCAAAAATTAACACTAAGACATTGAAAACTAAAGGCACCTGGCCCTTGAGGCCTACTGGCAAAAAGCCAGCCGGTGCACATCCCCCGGGGGTTCGAAACCCGCCTCTTGCAAAATATGTTCAAAAAAAAAAAAAGACATTGAAAACTAAAGAGAGAGAGATAGGGAAAAGAAAGGCATGTTTGACCTTCACTTGAGCAAGAACACCAATCATGGTTTCTTGGAGGCTATTGTTGTTGAATTTGGGAGAGGCTGCGACGTCACGAGAGAGGAACAGAGGAAGAAGTTCATCACAAACACATAGAAGAGGGAAAAAAAACTATCGATTCCTGCTAATCGTGAGCGGAGAGGGAAGA